TCCCTTCCTAGCTGACAAGTGACCATGTGTCAGGGCAACTAAATTTATGAAGGGCCGCTCCTGGCCTCATAGCCTCCATACCGGTCGATCACCGTTAAGCCCAACGGAGAAGGGAAACAAGATATATTCACCTTAAGGTTTATCTCACAGTATATAACTTCTAAGAGTTTAATCTCTAGTTGTGAACAAATGACATGCCGCTGGGCTTCTCTCTCCTTATCCATGCTTATTTATTTCTGGCTCTTCGGCTCAACTCAGTTTTCCATACTCTATGGTCCATATACTTTATTCGGTTAAGCTGACCATCTTAGTCGTGTATACACCGTGAAATGTGTCTGTGTAAATATGCTGGGATTGAAATAATCATAACTGGTGGTGAACTGTTTAGAAACGGCTTTAATTACCCTCCTGTACTCGATAGATTTTAAACCACATTAACGATATCAATAATTACATTTTTTAAATAACTGAAAGGATTTGACCATTTTTATTACGCGGATTACATTTTTGATTATAAAATCTTAATTATTGGAAAGAAAGGTTTTGAAATTAGCTTGCTGTATGAACATAACATATACAAAAAAAGAAATGTAAATATATATAACCACTCCTCTGCATCATTCATTGCTCTTTTAGTAGTCTCGTGAGCACAAAATGCCTCTTCTAAGGGGAAATTTAAAACAAGAAATAGTTTCACTTCTATTTTTTGTGCTAGAGGAGATAAAGCTTAATCATATAAACTATTATAAACATTTTATCAATATTTTATCAACATTTCACGTTATTTATTACGGCAACCACCACTCCACATCATTACTCCTGACGAGACTCCAGGCATGTGAATACCATTGTTTGATCTCCACACAGAACTATGGAGCGGCTGTACAAGTTCCGACCCACCACACTGTGTGAACGCGCAAGGTTCGTGTGGATGTGGCAGTGTGGTCTGTCTGCCAGACTTATCGCCCAAGAGAGTGGAACTAGTGTCACTACCGTCTGCAGGTGGATACGACGCTGGAAGCGAGAAGGTAACGTCAATACCCGACCTCGAAGTGGAAGGCCTCCCCGAATTTCGGCTGCAAACAGAGAATATATAAGACCAGAAATAACGATGGACCATTCCACCGTGAGCCATGACTTCCACTTGCTCCAGCACCGGCCAGCTGCAGAAATACGCTACTATCCACAGGAAACCAAACAGTACCATCCAACACTATATACCAATGAAATCAGCTCTTATGACCTGAACCCCGTTTGTCGATCCAGCTTTGAATGCTCTGGGGCAAATTCTGCTTTCAAAAAATATGGGAAGTCGAGTTTTCGCGAAAGTTTATGTCCAGTGAACAAAGACTTATTCAATTGCCTATGTGAGATGCCAGGGAAATATTACCCATAGCATGGAAACAATGATAAAGTGAAATGTGTTCCGAAAATACTTTGTAAATCGTAAGTAACTTGATTATTTCAGTCCGAGCGGAGTTTAGGTATCGCATCGTACTGTTTTTCTTGAAAAAGTCCAAAACAACTCGATAGAAAATATAACCGTGTTGGCTAGGTATTTGTATTTTTACACAAGCTAGTTGGAATATAATATACTCCAAATAACAGGTTAAACGTAACAAAAACTAACGCTTCCCTCTGAGAGGTTTAAACTAGGGACCATCAATTTATCAGCCCTGTGTGATGAACACTCCGCCTTGTAAGCGTTTGTGCGTGTGGCGTGTCTTGTGCGTGTTGTGTGCGCGCGCCGCGTGTATACGTATACTAACAAATTGTAGTTGCAGAGGTTCAGGTTTGTGTGTGTGTGTGTTGTGGTGTGGTGTGTGTGGTGTGTCTGTGTGTAGTTGTATGTGTGTCTGTGTGCGTGTGCGTGTGTGTGTGTGTGTGTGTGTGTCATGCTTTCTAATGTCTATTAATACTTTTGCGTGCATGTGTCTAAATAATTAAAAATACAAAGACCTGTATTTTGTGGTTTGTTTAAAATCCTGCTGTAGCAAATTTTGTACGACGCAACTCTGTTTATTAAAAGAAAGATTGCGTTAATAGAATTAGAATTTGATTAGTTTTTAGGACCTGTGAACCAGCAGACATATGGGTCCAAATATAAATTATTCTCTGCCTTCTGAAATTTCTTCTGTACTAAGATTGCTTCACACAAACTGTGTTGTTTTATTTCATCGAGTTTTGTATTTATCTTAATTAGGGAAGATGAGCTAAAATGCCTGCCTGTGTTGATGACTGCTTGTGTTGATGACTGCTTGTGTTGATGACTGCCTGTGTTGATGACTGCCTGTGTTGATGACTGCCTGTGTTGATGACTGCCTGTGCTGTGTGATGACTGCCTGTGTTGATGACTGCCTGTGTTGATGACTGCCTGTGTTGATGACTGCCGTGTTGTGACTGACTGCCTGTGTTGATGACTGCCTGTGTTGATGACTGCCTGTGTTGATGACTGCCTGTGTTGATGACTGCCTGTGTTGATGACTGCCTGTGTTGATGACTGCCTGTGTTGATGACTGCCTGTGTTGATGACTGCCTCTGTTGATGACTGCCTCTGTTGATGACTGCCTGTGTTGATGACTGCCTGTGTTGATGACTGCCTGTGTTGATGACTGCCTCTGTTGATGACTGCCTCTGTTGATGACTTGCCTCTGTTGATGACTTGCCTCTGGTTGATTGACTTGACTCTGTGTTGATGACTGCCTCTGTTGATGACTTGCCTCTGTTGATGACTGCCTCTGTTTATGACTGCCTCTGTTTATGACTGCCTCTGTTTATGACTGCCTCTGTTTATGACTGCCTCTGTTTATGACTGCCTCTGTTTATGACTGCCTCTGTTTATGACTGCCTCTGTTTATGACTGCCTCTGTTGATGACTTGCCTCTGTTGATGACTTGCCTCTGTTGATGACTTGCCTCTGTTGATGACTTGCCTCTGTTGATGACTTGCTCTGTTGATGACTTGGCTCTGCTGATGACTTGCTCTGTGATGACTTGGCTCTGCTGATGACTTGCTCTGTGATGACTTGCTCTGCTGATGATTTGGGCTCTGTGATGATTTGGGCCCTCTGTGATGACTTGCTCTGCTGATGACTTGGCTCTGTGATGACTTGGCTCTGCTGATGACTTGGCTCTGCTGATGACTTGGCTCTGCTGATGACTTGGCTCTGCTGATGACTTGGCTCTGCTGATGACTTGGCTCTGCTGATGACTTGGCTCTGCTGATGACTTGGCTCTGCTGATGACTTGCTCTGTTGATGACTTGGCTCTATTGATGACTTGCCTCTTTCGATCTGCATTTACAGGGTTTTTGGTTGTGTTAGACAGTTTTTATTGAAGATGTTTGTTTAATTAGTTTCCACGGGGTAACGTGTGAATGTCACGTCTAACTGGCTTCATATCTTCAGTACTCACATTCAATTATATTAGAATCAGGCCGCGATCTATACCATTCCTTTTTGCTAGCACTGAGGTAGACTATGACAAATGAGGATACCTTTATCTAATAGTGCAGTGACCGAAACTTTATTGATTAGTCTACGTCATTTCAGAATACATTTGATCAGGAAACTTAGTTGTAAATAAATATAGATTTTTAATGTATTAACAGCACACATAAGGGGGATCACCAATAGACCACTGGGTGTCTTCAAGAAGGCACTGGACAGGTAAATAGTCAGTACCTGACCAGCCGGGCTGTGGTTTGTACGTCAGTTTGCGTGTGGCTAGCAGTAACAGCCTGGTTGATTAGACCCCGATCCACAACAAGGCCTGGTCTCAGACCAAGCCGCTGGGGCGTTGACCCCCGAAACCCTTTCAGGTATACTCCAGGTATACCATTAACATGCGAGATATTTTATCTGCAAAACAATGTGTATATTACGCACACAGTTAGGCACGTCCTAACAGCTTGATGGTTACATACTATTATCATTTCTTTAATTCTGGGCAGGAAGCGTTGAGCAATGATGGGTGTGGCGTCGCTGATCGTGTTCCTGACCACTGCTGTGCTTACGTGTGGCACGCACCTGCCGCGTTATCGTAAGCTGACAGTTACACTCTGACAATTGTCTAAAATTTACACAAACCATTGAAAGCAATGTATCATACGCCTAGTGGAGACTGATCGACTGATCCGAAAGAGGTTATAATTCTCCTGAGGGAGATTAGCCTGTTTCTCAGACAAACTATTACACCCGCAGAATTTGCACGAGCACATTTTCTAAGATTGTGTTTATGTATGCATGTGTAAATGTGTGCATGAGTTCGTGAGTGCTTGGGTAGGTGTGCGAGTGCTTGTGTGTAAGTTTACTTTTTTCCAACAGCTCAAAAAACTGTGTTCACAGATATCTTTTAATTTTTCAAACTACACGAAAACCTCAACTAAACAACATTAAGTACGTCTGTTTCCGAAAACTATTTTAAAAGCCAACTGAACTCAGGGCTTAAATTTAAACCCTGGTTTATTACTTAAAGAAATTAATAACTCATTGATTATTAATTTTTGCCTTCATAAGTTTTATGTCTCGAAATTTTGTTATATTTATGATTTAATAAAACATTATTGCAGCCTTAATGCATCTAAACGATTAGGACTTCTGTGAGAAGACACTTTCCCTTTTCTCTGAGCTGACACTACCCGTTTTCTGCCGAATAAACTAACAGCCTTAATGCACTTCGTTACTAGTCACTTTTATCCATGATAAATTCAAAAGAATAAATTTTTATGATCTCATTCGTCTAGTCTAAAACAGGAAACCTACCTTTTAATATCAGGAGAACGAGACACATTGACAGCTGGAAGCGAGGCAGTGAATACTGTACTGAAAGCTGAGTCTACTGCCCTCTGCTCACTCATTCTCTTTGTAGATGGCAAAACTTCGCCCCATACTATCTTTAAGGTGGGCTTTTGTCGTAGAATGAATTCTGTTTGCATTTAAAAAGAAAAAAAAGACGAAAAATACAAATTATAAAATGTTTGCTTCTGTATGCTTCTTTTAGATGATTGGTAACTTGAAACCCCCAGGGGGTATAGCTGTGTACGAGGTGGCTGTAAATACGCAAGAATTTAACTTGACACAGGCTCAGCTTTGCCGGGAGGTCGACCAGGCTCGGTGGGTATGTTTCTCTTACTTTACTGTTGAGGTGGATTCATGACCCATAATGCTTAAGCCGATATGTCATTCTCTCTGTTTTCCTGAGGTGGTTAAGTCTCTTAATTACTGCTGAGGAGGGTACGTCACTCTCACATTACTTCTGAGAACTAAGTTACACAACTATTACCAGGCATGTTATATCCACAGCTGCGTCAACAGTCTTGGTGCATTGCGGTGATGGTGGTGAGTGACGACGCAGCCTTCCTCGCGGCCTTCGCTGAGTGCTCCTTTCAGGGTCGTCTCTTGGTGTGGTCGAATAGGCTCCTCGCTCTCACCCGCCTGTCCCTCCCGCAGCTGCACCAACTCCATGGGACTTTCTCACAGACAAATTCTGTATTGCTTCTCGTGAAAGACGTCGCAAGACATTTGCAGTACTGCCAACTCTTTCAACATTAGAAATTATGAGTCTATGTATTTTATAGGCGATTAATCAAATAATTCATGAATCATAATTAAGTCAGTTATTTAAAGATTTTATTTAACATTCTTCTTACTTGCTACAGGTGTAATATGTATATACACCTTCCATATACACCGGGAGATACTCAGGCATTACAAGTTGCTTCCTGGACGAAAAAGCGAGGCCTTGTTCTTACATCCCAACTTCCTGTTTTCCCTGACAAATTCTACAGGTGAGCTATCTTAAGATGCTGTATTTAGATGTATATTAAAGATCTGTATTTGAATGACTAATATTTCGTGTAATGGTGACTTTACTAGTATCTCATTTAGTGTGTAATCAACCTTCTACCTCCAGCAGTAGTAAGCGCTTACCAACCTAGTACTTACTGTAGTGGGTAATTTACCGGCAGGTTCCTTTGGAAGCCGTTACTGGTGGTGGCGGCAGAGGAATATGAGCCTCACGTTTCTGTTGACAGCTACGAGACACCCCAGGGTACACAAGTCACCTTCTCTGGACCCATGCTCAAACTCCTAGAAATTTTTGCTCACAGCATCAATTTCTCGTTAGCAAAGATTTTTTTTTCAGTTATCACTGCATGTGATTTCCCATATTCATTACGTGTGTTTTTGTAGGAATATACACAGATTACAAATGTCTACTGTTACTATAATAATGTTAATTTTAACTAATTTTAATTAATATTCTTAATATTAAATGTGGTACAAGTAAAGAAACAACAGATATATAAAAATATATTTACACAGCCCTCACATACGAGAATAAAATTTATAACGACGTATCTATCCGACTTAGTTACTAAACAGTTAATGGGCCAAATCGGAGCGAAACGTGTCATAAGTTTCATTATTGTTCCAGTCACGGTATTTTCTTGTTATTCTTGAAAAACAAACTCGCAGAAATCAATATTCAGTGCGAAGCTGTTAAATTCAGACTGAAACTATCTGTTTAACGTTAGTTACAGGATGGTTCGGCCTCCTGACGGCGCCTGGGGAGCTAAACTACGCGACGGGACCTGGATAGGCATGGTGGGAATGGTCTACAGAAAGGTAAAGGTTCTTGGGATAAAACAGACAGCTCCTGAAAAAGAATATTAAGCCTTAATTTACAAATCTTCATGGGACATGTAATATACGTACAAAATATAGCAGGAATTGTTAAGAGAAACTTTAGTATATGGTGACATTATTGAAATAAGCAAAAGGTGTTTTTAATTTGTCAAATTCTATTTTTAGTGCTAATCTTCTACCTCACTATATATTATTGTTAAAAAAAAAACTCCAATTAGGTTAGGTAAATCAGAGATTAATTGGCCTATTATCCTGTTTACTGACCACCAAGCTATTATCGACTGTTTTGCTACTATAAGTTATGCTGCATTTTGCTTTATACAAAGCCATAAAATAGTCCTTACATGAAATGTAGCATTTCTTAATGCTAAATAATTTTTCACCCGCTAACGCAGGAGATCGATTTTGGTCTGGGTCCGTTTGGCGTCACCGCTGTTCGTTTTCAAGTGGTGGACTACACGAGGCCAATAGTGATTGACTATGGCAGGATCATGGGAGGTCGAGGCCGGCCAGAGATAGACCCTTGGGGCTTCGTTTTGCCCCTGGCACCGCTAGTGTGGGTTGCCACCTTGGCGGCGCTGCTCCTACTGCTCAACATACTACTCCTTCTATCAAAATGTTCCTCTTACATGCATATCAGCTCAGAGAAAACGACCTCTTATAGTGCTCTAGACTACCTACGTGTGTTATTACAACAAGGTATGCTTCCCAAAGGTCGTAATAATTAACAATAATAAGATAATAACATTTTTAAACGTATAATGCTGTAATACGTTTTTCGCACACCCTAATTCTTTCTCGTTTAAGAACCGAGACGACTCTGTTTAGAATATTATACTATTCATGGAAGGTTTATTCCTTTCTAGATGTCTTAGTCGAGAAAGGAAGCTGGTGGCAAAGGATGTTGCTGGCTGGCTGGTTGGTGACGACACTGGTGTTAACACGGAGCTACTCTGGTAACCTCATGTCCCTCTTAGCTGTGAGACACATCCCTGAGCCCTATCACACACTCCAGGACGCTGTGGATGACCCTTCAGTAGCACTGATCTGGGAGGCAGAGTCAGCGTATGTTCAGACATTTCGAGTAAGTTGTTTTGTGCTGTATATTAAGAATATTATATGTAATTTGTAGAATGTAAGAAAATGGTGTAAATTAGTTAATTAGCAGACCGTTATTTTATTAATGACCCTTGAGCAATTAATAAACTTAAACAAAAAAAAAAACTTGCTCTTATGCACAAAAATATATTTTTATATTGTTCTAAAATTCAATTTTTACTTTCGAAATTCGAAGACTGAATGAAGGTTCTCGTTTCTGAACTTAACGATACCTTATTATTCAAATTCACCCAAATTAAGTGTGTTATCCTGGTGTTTTTTCATGTAAATTCCCCAACATTAAGTTGTGCAATGTAACTAATTATATACTGTGTACAAGGAGGAAATTTTTTGGAGGGGGGACCAAACTTTGCCTAACGCAACCCAAAATAATTTAGGTTAAGCTAGATTGGATAATGTTAGGCTAGGCTACCAAATAAAACTTACCTATCTGCCTAAAACACAATTAGCTCCACTGGAGAATTTCCATAAAAAAACAGACCAGAACCTACATTCAATATTAGCCATGTGCTTAAAGAGCGCGACGTCTGGCATATACAAAGCTGTGGCCGACTTGGAGAAGAAAGGACGGAATGTATATCAAAAGAGCACAGTGTTTCCTGAGAGTGTGGACAAACTGATCAGGCGAGGCGATCATGTCCTCATCTTGGAGGAGCTCACTGAGGAAGTTTTCATCGCTCAAGACTTCTCAGTCACAGGTTTTTATGTGTATATATATATATATATATATATATATATATATATATATATATATATATATATATATATATATATATATGTTTTGCATATATATATAGTCACAGGGGAAGTTGAATGATAGCTCTAGGCCTTTCGTGTTGCAATCAACACATCAAGAGCTCACAATATTGTAGAAACTAGAGAGATCTCAGGAGATTCGTTCAGAGGGACGCTCTAAGGAAGAGCATCACTGAATGAATCTGCTGAGATCTTTTACTAATTTCTGCAACTTTGTAAGCTCCTGATGTGTTGATTGCAACATGAAAGGCCTAGAGCTATCATTGTTTTCCATCTTGTATCACTTGTTCGCTATACAGATATTTCTAAAATAATTTTATAAATATTCTTACGTTTAATGCCCTTAAATACTTTATGAAAAATAAATTAATAGTAGCTAGTGTATTTTTAAATTTCATATTTGGGGATATTACTTTAATTTGTTTGGATCACACAGAACGCTGCGATTTTTACTTATCTAAAGAGAGGGTGTTACCTCTGATGTTTGCCATGGTAGGACGCAAGAACAGTCCTCTGGTGCCGGTGTTAAGCAACAGGTAATTATAATTACTTTTTAAAAGTGAATGTGGTTCCACTGGTGAAATAGTTTAATCAATCTTAAATTAGTTCACTATTATCATAGTCTTGTTCCATTTTGCATTAAGAAACTCGGCTTCAAGAAAATTTGCTATCACGGGTTTGCTCCTTCGTGGTAATTTTGCTTTAATCCGGCTGCCTACGTGAAATGAATTCAATAATCTATCTTAACTTTCCCCGCTGTTAGCAATGAAATTATAGTCATCACTATTTCATTTATCATCGCTGTCTTCATCAGTAAATCATGTCTCATATTCTATATATTTCTGATACTGTTATCTTTAAAATTACCAATATCAAGAAAGTTCTATTTTGTCAGGAAAAAATAGAAAGTTTCTCCTTTTTACGAAAATCAGTCATATAATGACTTGCTCCATGGAGTTTTTGTCACATGGCAGAGACCTTCAGCTGGCTTACCTAAGTCACAGGAGAGCTTCCTTTCCGTATTTTTTAAACAAAGTATCACAATACAGTAGAGTTCTTGCATATTATCACCCTTGTCTTCATCTCCATTTATGTAACCACTTCAAATACCATAGTATATTTGTGTCGTGGTGGGTGTGGCAGGATCAAGTCAGTGAAAGAAGCTGGTTTGTACGACTTCTGGATGAAAACCAGTGTTCCCAACTCCACCTCCTGTGCTCACACCTCTACCAAGACAACTGTCAATACCTCGCTCTCTCTTACTAATCTCTCGGTAATGTAACTCAAACTAAATTACGTTAAGAAAATTTAATAAATACCTTTATAAATATTTTATTTTAGCTATGACTACATTAAAAAAAAAGCAACGTGTACGCTAATGCTGGTGAAGGAATTTTGAACCAGGGAATTGGAACTGTTCTCCTTAAATTAAATCTAATTATATTGAATTCCCTAGACCGCTCTTTCCCATGACTATACTACCAGTACTAATAATATACCATATCAATAAAAGAATTTTGTTAATCGCTGTTAATTTATATTCACTTTTAACAATGCTTTATTGACATTAATAATTACTTTTTCCTAAATAAGAGTTAACTCAGAAATAAGAGTTAGCTAAGCTAACTCTTATTTTTTTCATGAGTTATTCAAGACTGCAAAGATCACCTTGCTAAACAATATTTTACCTGCACAAAATGATGAAATAATAATGTTATATAGAATTTTGGGGTTCAGTTTTGAGCTTAACGATAATTTGATACAAATTCTCCAATACCAAGTGAGCTGACAGAGCAATGGTGACCGACATAGTTTTTTTCCCAATAACCCAAAGTATAACTTTCTCATGCACGACAATCTTTGTATGGGTAATAAAAAATCGAAAATTAAATTTAATGATAGTAATGACAATAATATTTTATGTATAATGATTAACAGACAACAATAGCTAGCAATTGCATGCTGGATTAAATTCATTGATATATGAGTACTTTTGCCTTGTTTTGATACAAGCTTGGTAAAGGGTTTAATTAATCCGTCTCTGGTATCCATTGCAGGGAATGTTCGTGCTCCTGGTCGCTGGCTATGGTCTCGCTCTCCTGGTCTTAGGTCTTGAAGCAATGGCTGACTGGAGGAAAATATTTTGAAAGTCAAATGTCCACAAACACTCAATCTTTAGTTGTAGGTGCAACATTTCCCATAATATGTTGCACGAAGAATAACAGTTAACAGTTACTGGTTGGCTATTCTTCTTGTCATAATTCACCTGTCTCATACGAATAACAAAAACTATTTGTTCATAATCTGAATAATAATTCTTTTCACCCCTCAACCTGGTTAAATACAATACGTTTTCAGTTAATGGATTTAAAAATCCTTAATCATTTGACGACTCATCAGCGCTGTTCATTAAATCTGTCAAATTTATAATGTGTGTGTGTGTGTGTACTCACCTAACATGTGTGTGTGTAAGTGCAACAAATCATTATTCGTAGAACAAATTATTATCCATGTCATTCCCTTGGATAATTAAGCAATGGGATGGCAATCCATACTAGCAGGGTTGGCGGATAAATAGCGGTGTTCTGCTCGACGTGACTCACTTCATCAGTGGTCGCGTGAGCAGTCAGCTCATCTCTCTTGTTCATCGCTGACCATCGTCGTCACAACCGTGAGTTATCTTCCACTTCCCTCTACAATACTTTGGTTTCATGTGGTCGAAATTTATTTAACCAGCATAATGACTGAAAAAGTTGAATTGAATTTACCTCCAGTGTTTTCTCATTTAAAAACAATAACGATTCATATATAAAGTTTGATACTGAAATTCATCTATTAATGTATTTCTTATGTTTACATAAGTGTCGTGCAATAAATATATTCAGGGATATTATTGTGTGGTTGAGACAACTAATATATTTTCCAATGTGATATTTTTTTTTACTGGGTGGACTGGTAAGACAGCGGAAAACCTTCAAATAAACAACGATATATATAGGAAAGGCCCTGTTGAGGGTGAGCCTTGAAAGGGTAGTTGAATTATGTTGGGAAGTTATTAGGATCAAAGAAAGTGCCAGGGCATGACTCAGCTACTAGGCATTATTATGGGTGATGGATGTCAAGCCCGCAATTCATGATTGGATCTGGACACAACAGTGGTCGGATAGGAGGGCAGCAATGTACATGAAAGCCGGGCACTCACCTCGGGGAGACGGGGTAAATGAAAAGAGCTGATTCACAGCTGCTATACACGAATAGTTCTCTAGGTCCAGGCTTGTTACCTAAGGAAGAAGAATTTGTAGGTTGCTACGTAAATAGGCCTAAGTGAAGAAGTGTACGATTTTCTGAGCTTCCTATTTTCCAATAGCGTAGGAATATTTGCTCTATCGAGGAGGAGCTTGAGTGCCAAAAAAAAAAAAAAAAAAAAAAAAAAAATCTGGTAATGTAATGAAATGTCAAAACGACCTATAGCTCCACAGAGCAGGTGTCGAAATATTTTCAAGGATTTTCTGAATAGTTATTTTTAGTTGATCTGTTCTAAATAGTCAATGAACTATAACTCATTTCATTGTACTGGATAAACAACAGCATTCCTTTCTCTCCCTGTTGTGTTGTCTTGTCAAACGTCTTAGGAATCAAATAGCGCTTAAAATCTCGTATCTGAATAAAAATTACATACGGATTTACTCTGGTGACTTTAGAAATTCTCAAGATTTCATAAAATTCGCAAAAGTAGGTGAAAAAAAAATCTCAAATTTAATGTATTTACAGTGCAGTGAATGGGGCATAAATATGGATAATATAAATCGGCATATCTTTATGGTCCACCGCAATACCATTACTGAATCTAGTATACCAGTGAATATTTTCGTTTTTAAACAGGATAATGGGGCGGCGTCAAAGACTCCGGCCCACTACTCTGGCTGATCGCGTGAAGTTGGTGTGGTTGTGGGTGGAAGGCGTACCAGTTCGTATCATAGCGCAAGAGACAGAGACAAGCGTCACTACTGTATGTCGATGGGTAAGACGCTGGAAACAAGAAGGAAATGTCGACACAAAACATCGAAAGCGCAAACCATCTTTAATCCACGATAAGTTGAGCAATGGATTCGCCAATTGTCAATTCCCAATGGCATATGGAAATCTTTCTTCTATTCCTCAGTTTTCACAGTGGTCAAGTGACAAATTTTCATCAATCTTCTAAAATATATTAATCATAGCTAAAACGCTCATTCAGTAAACTGGCTTACCGGTCCACCCCTGTAAAAATTAGGTCTATATATTTGTGTTAGTTTTTTTTCTTTTTCAACTTTTACTATTGGAAGCAATTTTAAAATTGTTTTAGTACCTGTATATTTTATAGTTTATCTATAAACCTGTCTTGCCTGTAATTTAAATTTAAAAATCTAAATGTGTAGAAAAGAACGTCATGAAATTTTATTCCAGTAATTAAACTAATTAAATGACTGAATTATAAATAGTTACTTGAACATTATACGTATTCCTATAACATAACTAAAAATTATAGAGAAAAATTATTTAAAATAGCAAGTTGTATATAAAACATTAAAAATATTAAAGCTGACAAAACAAAACTTTGCACTGTATAATTAACATTAAATAAAGAGCTCTCTCCTTTAGGTTTTCATTAATTTGGTTTAATGCCTGTCGACACGCAGGGGTCTAAAATATTTACTTAGGCTACATGTCACCTATTCACCACGCGTCAAGAATAATTTAATCCCATATATGGGCTTAATAGGATTACTGTAAGTGCATATGTACTGAGATATATACCTTTCCACGTGTATATGCACCCTTCTTCAGTGCACACATTATATGGAACATTTCAGAATATATACAAAGTGTGGATTCCATTTCTTAGTTTCTGTCCACTTGATCTAAAATGAATCGGCAGTTTTTTTTTGACTGATATATTGCATTTCATACATTTTTCAGATTTGTTGAAGTATTTTTTTATAATTGTTCTAATTATTTTTATAAATAATGTACTTACTGGCTATCTCCCGACTGTGGTGGTTCCTGTCACTAAATAAATATTAAACTTCAATTATTGATGTTCTTTATTACAATAAATTGCATGCTACCCTTACATCATAGTATTTACAGAATATATTAGCGCATGTTATGAGGCGTCACTACTGGTAATGAGAGATGTTTAATGTGGTCTGTGGCAAGAGCAAAGTCAATAACAAGCCACTCTAATTTTTTTTATCTTACGGATCTTTAGCAACTTTATTAGTCTCTTTACATTAAGAGGCTTAGTGAACCCAGCATTACACAACTTTAACAGTGTTTAATACGTATTTTACATCCAGTCATCAAATACGAATGGATAAATATGAAGTGCAGACAGAACCATGACACAAAAAGACTGGTTGTAAAATCATCCTATTATAACCCTTTCTTCTAAATGGTTACAGCTCTGTTATGTTTGTTCCTTGAAAATCGTTCGTTACGTTATTATGGTTTATTGGTTATATGGCTTTGTGGGATATGAGGATATGATATTAGATGTGTCATGAAACCTGTGGGAGAGTTGGATGAGATAATAGGGTTACAGAAGTGTTGCATAATTATCGTACTAGCACTTTTATGGCCGAGTTATTACAACGCTGGACGTGCTAAATGCACTGCTCGAGTCGCCGTCCCTTCTCTTGTTTGGTCATGAGAGAGACAAGTACATTGAGTTTACAGCTTAGTGATACTAAAATGCCCACACTAACATTCAGGATTGGTTCAAGGAAGAGGAGGAAAGCTTCAGTTCTTAGAATCAAGAGTCCTTCGCCACCAGGGACGAAGGTGTGTGGTGAACTGAGATAAAAACTGAATGTTCACCTCACGTAACTTTTCTAAAACGCAAATATCACTGAGATATAATGGTCGCCAACGATATCGAAATCTTTAGAATGTATAGTTTGATATTTGGAAAATCTTCATTTTCTCCTGACAAACGCTGTTATAGATTCGCCGGTATAATCGCCCGGTCCGGGCACTTTCCAAGAGGTGGCTCGGCCTTGGCTCCTTGCAGTGGAAGTGTCTCAGACCAATGTCTGCCATGGGAGGAGGTACAAGTACCTCCTCATCTTCTGGGACCAGCTGTCCCCAGGCCAAGTCCCATTCCCCGCCCCCACGGGGCTCGGAGGGAGAAGCTAGGCATCTAGGGCTGCCACAAACACTGCGTCCAAACATTCCAATGACATTTCAGTTAGTTTAATTAAGCTACAATAAATGCAAAAATGTCCATTGCTAAAATCGCAACAAAATCGCACTTTTAAAGAAAAAAATATAAAAAGTAATTGAGTAATCCACTCTTTCCATGTTCTCTCTCAAGTGACAAGTCTGCGAGAACGAATAAGAATGAAGGTGACCACAGTTCTACTGCTGTTGGTGTTCCTGGCCGCAGCCAAGCGTCCCTTCCCTCAATTTGGCAAGTTGGCAGCTAAGTGGTTCTGATTAATTCAATATTCTTTATCATCCTTTTATGTCTATGTATGTATGTATATATGTACATATGCATATATATTTATGGATTAATATTAAGACAAGTATAACCTCTCTTCACCAGACAACACACAAACTTTAGCAGTAGCTGGGAAGGCTGTAAGTGATGTGCTTGCAACAGTTTCTTATCCCTCCAGCATAATTATTCTGCTCATAGACGGTAGCACCTCTGCCGGTACTCTCTTAAAGGTGTGTAGTTACACTTTCCATTAAAGGGGAATACAACATGAGGTTTGGGTCTCGGTGTATATGCGTTGAGTTTGGTTTTATCCCTATTTTAGGATGTGTTACTCTTGCACGTTAGTTAATAAGTAGATAGTTAAAAACCCATTTCTTGCAACATTCACTTACACTATTCAAATGATTCTACATCTTTTGTTATAATTTGCTTTATCTACACTGGTTCAGCAGACAGGTCTACTGCTACCCCCGTGGGGGTGTTGTGTACTGGAGGTGAGAGTGCATGGTGCAGACCTCGCTAACAAGACGCAGGAGGCCGTATCTAGGGCGATAAGTGAGGCTAGGGTGGTAGGTTACGAATGACTGTCCGTACAACTGTCATTGTTCCGTAATTAACAAGTATGCTAGTTCACAAATAATCTTGGATGCCTATAAATGCTTA